TTCATCTGTCAAAAGTTATGTGAAATAACTTTAAATATCTGTATGACTCGCTCTCTGTTTGAGAAAAATAAACACCACACATTGAAGCTACCATGTTTTGAACATGTTTTTTTTTTTGGTCCATATGTGTGTGTTGTGGAAGACAGATTGATTCTTTTACTTCCAACTAACTACAATTATGAACAAGTATACCTCACAGACAATCAGGCTTTCAACATTGTTATTGTTGGTATAGTTTTGCAAAACATAATTATATTCATCTTGGAGAATTGCTACATATACACATCAAATCATGTTTATTATCTTTTTAGTTTATTAGTACATATGTATAGTATGTAATGCTTATATTCATTTTCAAAAATGGGTACATGTGCATAATACACCTTATTTCCTTGTTTTATCATTTCTCCCATCCCTCCCTCCCCCTTGACCCCCTTCTTTTTCTGTATGTTTTCATATTGAATCTTGATCATGTTACTTCCCTTGGCCTCCTGATACTCTCTTTTCCTCCTTTCCTCAGATCCTCTTCGTGTGTTCATAGATTCTACATCTCATTTTACTACTACCTTTTAATAAGTATTTACATATTGAAGGAGATATGGATGATCATTTCATGTATATATGTGTTTATTAGATAAATCTTTAATTTATATTTATAATCCTTCTATGTATTTATAAATTTTATAGGTCTTGTTTTGTGGAAAGGTCTGCAATAGGACTAGGAATGTGGCTCAGTGGTAAAGCTTTTGCTTAAAGTGCAAGATCGTGGGTTTCGTTAGAGTAGTGCATTAATGAAATGATGATGATGATAGTAATAATAATAATGATGACAATAATAGTCTGTAATGAATCATCATACCAAGACTGTGAATGGTTAAATTTTCCATGGAATTCTGTAATATTTTACAACACACTGGTGCTTTCCTTTACTATATGTTCAGAATCTTGCAGTTCTCTATGGTTTTATAAGACAGAATTAACTATGTGTACTGTTGAATATTGGCAAAGATAAAAGGTACAATCAATACCCCTGAACAACTCCTCAGTCCTCATCTTTAGTAAATAATTGCCTGATTTCTGCTACTGGATGTAAATACGATGTGTATCCCAGGCTTTTTAATGGTTTTGTATGTTACCTGCTGCAACGTTGGCAAATTTAAAATGCAAAGGTGTGACATTCTGGTATATTTGCAGAGTTATATGCATTTTGTATGGAATCTCATATTGAATTACTTATGCCCAAATTCTTCTGCTCAAAATTATATTTGTGATACTCCCATAGTTTATTCCATTTAGTAAATGTGTATTCCCATTATTCTGTCCATTTCTACTGTGTGAGTATGCACAATTTATTTGTTTGTTAGGGTAGTGAGTTGTCTACAGCTAGGATTGTATTTTTATTTTTAAATTTTTTGAATTTTCTGAGAAATGATGTCACCGTGTATCCTAAGCTGGCCTCAAATTGCTGATCCTCCTGCTTCAGACTTCCATGAACTGGGATTACAGATGCCCGCCACCATGCCTGGCTAGAGCTAGAATATTTGCTCAGTAGCACTGCAAGGGGCATTCTCATCCAGGCTGTTGAGTGCACAATTTTGCACCTTTAGGAGTCCAATATTTATATCTTAGGGAATAGGTATGGGCATATTTATTGAATACCACCATACAATGCTCCAAAGCAGTTGCATCAACTTAAGCTCTCATTATCTTTCATACATATTACAATATCTGCTTTTTTCCTCTTGACTATGATGATTAGTATAAAATAGTGCCATACAGTTTTTCTTTTCTTTTAATTTTTAAAACCAGTGCTTTAGTGATCATCTCTACCTCAGAATGAGCTGGGATTTCAAACAAAGGAGGATCCCTCCCACTGTCTAGATGTCAGAGCCTGCATCCAAAACTGATATCCCTGGAAGCAAAAGGAGATGTGGCAGGAAAAGAATGTTGTGCACCTATACTCAGGTTCAGGAAATCAGTCACCAAAAGTTCTGCCCTTCTGTGATCTATACCTGAAGGCTCTTAGCTGCCTTGGAAGATAAATGAGAATGCACCTCTGGCTAATGAGGAGCTGTGCTAATTGAGTTCTCAAGGCCACAGAAACTGAAAATAGTCAACCTGTGACCACCTTATCAGCAACATGGCTCAGGTCAGGAAACACACACTTGAATCTGCTTCCAGAGATGAGAACTCACACCCAGGAGCTCACTGCCTATTGGTCCATCTGCCCTTCCTGATGATATATTTTCCGCCATCATCTGTCAATATCCAGTGAAGACATTCAGAATTCCTAGCTGATATCTTCCAGGTATTCTTTTTGTTTTTTTGGGGTTTTTTTAGTCTTGAGTTCTTTTATTGGTACATTTTAGGTATACAATACATTTACATTTATCATTGGGTGTTTGTACCTGTACATGATGTATCTTGGTTCTTATTTTTC